TTAGAAAATCTATACTTGCATTTAAGGGAATTTGAGGAGGTCTGCAACACATATAATAATTTAAATTGTAGCATGAACACCATCAGATTAAAGCTTTTTCCTTTTTCATTAAAAGATAAAGCTAAAATATGGCTACAAAATTTGAGACTTGGATCTATTCATATTTGGGATGAAATGCAATAATAGTTTTTAAAGAAGTTTTTTCTTTTTCATAGAACAAACTCTTTCAAAAGACAAATCATCACTTTCACTCAAAAACCAGGAGAAATATTTTACCAATGTTGGGATAGATATCGAGACTTACTTAATATTTACCCTCATCATGGTTTTGAAACATAGAGATTGGTTTCATATTTTTATGAAGGGTTAACACCTGTAGATAGGCAAATGATTGAATTGATGTGCAATAAAACTTTTGAAGTTAAAGACCTTCATGAAGCAATGGAGTACTTAGACTTGTAAGTTGAAAGTGCTTAAAATTAGGACACTGCAGGTACTTATGAGGCACCGAGTAAAACCCAACTTCATATATCTAGTGAAGGTATGTAAAACCTTAGAGAAGATCATGACCTCCTAGTCAAGTTTGCATCTTTAGCTAGAAAAGTCAAAGCACTAGAATTAAAAAAAATTGGTTAATTAAAATCTGTTTAAGATATTGTATGTTAAATCTGTGAAACAAATGAACACTCAACCAATAACTGTCCAACCTTGCTTTTTTTAAGGAATATCTCCATGAATAAGTCCATGCTTTAAACAGTTACCAAAGGCTCAACAATAACTTATACTCCACAAATATACAACCCTGATTGAAGAAATTATCTAAATTTTAGTTGGAAAAATAAGAACAACAATACACAAACTTCACAACCATCATTTCAAACACATTGTAATTTTTAAAATTCTCATAAATATACATCTCTTTATACTCCTCTCCTATAAAATAAAACAACTCCAAATATAAAAACAACACTTCAACTCGTAGATTCTGTTCTATTTGGATTTTTCTTACAAAAAAGCGCAACACAAAGAAACAAAGAACAAGGCATTCTAGCAAATTACAGTAGATGGGAATACTAAAGTTGGAATTATGGAAAACAGAACATAGAAGGGTATGGACTCTGGATTAAACATTTAAAGGGCTTGCACATAGAAACTATCGGATGAGATAGCAAAATATGCAGCACAAAAGAAATCCTATTTTGCAGACTCAATTACCCAAATCACCTGTCACACACTGTAATACATTAATAGTATCTTAGCTTAATTAGCAAAGCAGAAGCTCATAGTAGATAACAAACACCATAATAGAACTAATCTATTTACTAAAAGAAACAAGAAAAGCATTACAAGCTCCATAATCTGTTAAGCTCTAGTGATCTAGTGATCACCCCATTCAATTTTGTCCCTGATATTTGCCAGCACCTCTTTAGACTCCCTCAACAACTTGATACTTGTGTTCAGCCTCTCACGCTTGCTAGCAACAGATGGAGGTTCCTCTAACATTCTTTCTACTGCAACACCACCACCAGTGCCCAACAACGCATTAGTAACAATCTCCTTTTCCATCTCCTTGTTCACAAAGTTTCGGATGCTGAGCTGGAGATGCAGAGCCATATTGTCAACCAACCTCATCACAACAATATTCCAGTAAGCAATCAGCCTCATCTTCAAGTCAAAAGCTTCAAGAAGAACATGTTTATGACACCTAAGATCTCCCACTACGACCTCTCTCGAGCCATCAATCGTCACCTTGGAAGATCCAAATGTCGTAATGTTGTCGATGACTACTTGCTGCTGTGCGATGAGCTTGTTCCATTCCTTCATATATTCTGGATTACATGTGTAATCCGTTTCCTTCTCCATCTGGACAATCTCTGTTACCCAATCAATGGACCGGTCTTTCATTTTATCTAGAAGTTTATGGGCCACTTGTACGATAAATAACTGAAGTTGGTGATAGTTCGCCGAGTGATGATTCAAAACTGAAATGACCACACCTCCAATGTAAGCCCACACTTTTTCAACAAACCCTATTGGTAGTTCTGATATTTCTTCAACCTTTTGCTTCAGGATGGTAAGGATGGCAGTGTTAGGAAGGATATTTGGCAATTGAATCCCTTTTGTTTCCTCCAAAACCTCAATCTCATTTATCAATCTTGTATTTAACTTTGTTTCTTTTATTTTATTTCTTCTTCTTTTGTTTTTTTTCTTTTATTCTACTCTTACACGTGCATGAAAGTGTGGTCACGTATATTAAGTGATAGACTTTGTAGGGTATCCTCATTATTTTCAAAAAATATGGTCGAAGAAGATAACCAATCGCTTCATAATGAGAATAATGAGAATAATTGTGTTAAAACACTTAGAGACCACATGAATCCCACAAGAACAAGTGCACCATCATGTATAGTTTTTTCCCCTGATGCATCTCATTTTAATTTTAAGTCAGATGTTATTCAACTTTTATCTTCTTTTTATGGCTTAGATTTAGAAAATTCATACATGCATTTAAGGGGATTTGAGAAGGTCTGCAACACGTATAATGACTCAAATTGTAGCATGAACACCATTAAATTAAAGCTTTTTTCTTTTTCATTAAATTAAAGCTTTTTTCTTTTTCATTAAAAGATAAAGCTAAAATATGGCTACAAAATTTGAGACTTGGATCTATTCATATTTGGGATGAAATGCAATAATAGTTTTTAAAGAAGTTTTTTCTTTTTCATAGAACAAACTCTTTCAAAAGACAAATCATCACTTTCACTCAAAAACCAGGAGAAATATTTTACCAATGTTGGGATAGATATCGAGACTTACTTAATATTTACCCTCATCATGGTTTTGAAACATAGAGATTGGTTTCATATTTTTATGAAGGGTTAACACCTGTAGATAGGCAAATGATTGAATTGATGTGCAATAAAACTTTTGAAGTTAAAGACCTTCATGAAGCAATGGAGTACTTAGACTTGTAAGTTGAAAGTGCTTAAAATTAGGACACTGCAGGTACTTATGAGGCACCGAGTAAAACCCAACTTCATATATCTAGTGAAGGTATGTAAAACCTTAGAGAAGATCATGACCTCCTAGTCAAGTTTGCATCTTTAGCTAGAAAAGTCAAAGCACTAGAATTAAAAAAAATTGGTTAATTAAAATCTGTTTAAGATATTGTATGTTAAATCTGTGAAACAAATGAACACTCAACCAATAACTGTCCAACCTTGCTTTTTTTAAGGAATATCTCCATGAATAAGTCCATGCTTTAAACAGTTACCAAAGGCTCAACAATAACTTATACTCCACAAATATACAACCCTGATTGAAGAAATTATCTAAATTTTAGTTGGAAAAATAAGAACAACAATACACAAACTTCACAACCATCATTTCAAACACATTGTAATTTTTAAAATTCTCATAAATATACATCTCTTTATACTCCTCTCCTATAAAATAAAACAACTCCAAATATAAAAACAACACTTCAACTCGTAGATTCTGTTCTATTTGGATTTTTCTTACAAAAAAGCGCAACACAAAGAAACAAAGAACAAGGCATTCTAGCAAATTACAGTAGATGGGAATACTAAAGTTGGAATTATGGAAAACAGAACATAGAAGGGTATGGACTCTGGATTAAACATTTAAAGGGCTTGCACATAGAAACTATCGGATGAGATAGCAAAATATGCAGCACAAAAGAAATCCTATTTTGCAGGCTCAATTACCCAAATCACCAGTCACACTGTAATACATTCATAGTATCTTAGCTTAATTAGCAAAGCAGAAGCTCATAGTAGATAACAAACACCATAATAGAACTAATCTATTTACTAAAAGAAACAAGAAAAGCATTACAAGCTCCATAATCTGTTAAGCTCTAGTGATCTAGTGATCACCCCATTCAATTTTGTCTCTGATATTTGCCAGCACCTCTTTAGACTCCCTCAACAACTTGATACTTGTGTTCAGCCTCTCACGCTTGCTAGCAACAGATGGAGGTTCCTCTAACATTCTTTCTACTGCAACACCACCACCAGTGCCCAACAACGCATTAGTAACAATCTCCTTTTCCATCTCCTTGTTCACAAAGTTTCGGATGCTGAGCTGGAGATGCAGAGCCATATTGTCAACCAACCTCATCACAACAATATTCCAGTAAGCAATCAGCCTCATCTTCAAGTCAAAAGCTTCAAGAAGAACATGTTTATGACCCCTAAGATCTCCCACTACAACCTCTCTCGAGCCATCAATCGTCACCTTGGAATATCCAAAGTTCGTAATGTTGTCGATGACTGATTGCTGCTGTGCGATGAGCTTGTTCCATTCCTTCATATATTCTGGATTACATGTGTAATCCGTTTCCTTCTCCATCTGGACAATCTCTGTTACCCAATCAATGGACCGGTCTTTCATTTTATCTACAAGTTTATGGGCCGCTCGTCCGATAAATAACTGAAGTTGGCGATAGTTCGCCGAGTGATGATTCAAAACTGAAATGACCACACCTCGAATGTAAGCCCACACTTTTTCAACAAGCCCTACTGGTAGATCTGATATTTCATCAACTTTTTGCTGCAGGATGGTAAGGATGGCAGTGTTAGGAAGGATATTTGGCAATTGAATCCCTTTTGTTTCCTCCAAAACCTCAATCTCATATATCATAAAATTCTTTGCATGGTCAGAGCACTTACGAAGTTCTGTTGAGAATTGATTGAGCATTTCAACCAATCTAGCAGTGCCGTGCATATCTTTTACATGTGGGTATTCATCAATTTCCCCTCTTACAAGGATTTTCCTCAAAGACTCCCGGGAAGATCCAATAATGCCCGTGAAAGCTGCCACGACCTCAGCAACTGACGACAACCTCCTGGGCATCCCATTCAGCTCTGAAATACAATCTGTCAACCTCTCATCAATCTTTCTGATGATACCAGGCAAACACTTGGCAATAATACTGGCCTGAATTCGCACCAGTTTTTGAGCCAAAACTTGAATGCCCACTGTAGATTTATCAATCTTGGACAAAAGTTGATGTGTAGCAAACAGTGCAGCTTCTTCCTTCCTTGCATCCTCGTAAGACTCATTACCAATACGGTTTCTAACACACACATAACCAAGGCCTATATTCACATCATTTCTATTGACCTTCTCAGGTAACCCTTCAGGTGATTTGTCAACCTTTGTAACCACAGCAAGAGTCCTCTCACCCTTCTTGTCGACTTTCTGTGACATCATTATGGATTCACATGTGGAAAAATCAACGCTCGCAGACAAAACATTAAGGATAACACTCTCATCAGGACTAATATACTTCATTATAATATTTGCTATCTGCTCATAGATATCTTCAGGTTGACCATGAACAGGAACTCTTGTAATTCCAGGGAGATCAACAAGAGTAAGATCAGGAACACCATTCTTTTTCACTACAAGAGTTAATTCAGTGTTAGATATGCCCTTACCGTTGCCTGCAATCTCATCAGTGGCAAGATTGATAGCATTAGCAACGTGGGCTTCATCAGTAGGCACTGTTTTGTCATTGAACTGCAAGAAAATATCTGGGACAAGAGATGGATGATGTTTAAGCCTCATAATGAGAGGCACTCTAGTGCAAATGCCATCGCCACGAGGAAGATGGATACAAGCCAATGATTCAAGAACACTGGATTTGCCTGAAGATTGATCGCCAACAACAACAATGGTTGGAAGTTGTATGCCTTCTTTCACTACCTGGAGTTGCCTCAGCCTGTCCACCGCATCAAGGAGAGGTGTGATACGGTCGTTGTAATATGAAACAATTGGTACATGATCATGAAAAATAGCCTCATGTTCAACATGAACTTCTACTTCTTTATTTACTGATGCATGTGATTCAACTTCGTATTCTTCAACTCCTTCCCTTTTTGAAGAAGGCTTGCCTCCACTCATTTTCTCTAGAAAAGATCAGACAGGGATAGAAGAAGAGAGAGATTTTTATATGGAAAGAGTTTGAAGATTGGTATGGTCTTGGAAAGAAAAGACGGAAGGGAAGACGTATTTTATAGCAGAGGAGGTTTTCATTTAACTGCAAAATTAAGATAATTAATTGCAAAATTACGATATAGAGATTTTCAATATAGCTCTCAAATTAATATATTTATCAATTAGGTCCCTATAGGAGAAGCATTATCCATTCTTCCTTTAGTGGAAACACTTACTTCGTTTGATTAATATAAAAAGTCAGATTTCCCTCAAAATCCCATCCTTTTATTGCATTAATTTTGCATGCAATCTAAACATGGAAACCCGTACGAACGAAGGAGTTCAATCGAGGATTAATGTCAAATACTTTGAAGACCAAATTCAAAAGCTATATAGTTTAGACACTTAGTTGAGAATTGGTTCGTAGGTGAGAAGTTAATTCGAGCTTTGCTCTTAAGATAATTATCAAGCCTCGGAATGTTATGGTCTTTGACATGAATAATTTCTTTCCATTTCTAAATATTGTTTTCATTGCTGAGAAAAATAGTACATAAGGTGAATCGAATAACCTCCAACAAAAGAAAAGTATAAAGAAAAATAACCTCCAACAAAAGTAACCTCAACATCAACCTAAACTAAATCTTTTATTTAGATAATATTATAAGAGCACATCTCTCGTATTAGTATGGTGAATTCAAAGA